GGAGACATTCGCACAGGTGTGGGTGAGGAAAGGGAAATTTGTTTACCTGCCTGGTGAAGAGGATGGCGGCGTCGTAGTGGTCCTTGTGGTCGTCGTCTCGCGGGTTCTGCTGGTTCTGCCACCTGCAGAAACTCTTCAGGGTCGCTGCAGCGTTCTTTGTCACCTCGAGCCCCTTCTCCTTGTCGCTGAGCACGCGCACCTTCACCACGGACAGCCGGATGGGGTTCTCGATGCTCGCGTGCCCGTACAGCTTGGATGCGATGGAGGCCAGAGTGAGCAGGTAGTGGTTCAGGTCCGTCCCGTATTTTCGGGTCATGGTGTCGTCGGCCACCAGCAGCAGCTCCACGTGCCTGGCGCGAGACACCGACCTCTTGCTCCGCGCGCCATGGTCATCTGTGCTTTCCTGCGCTTTCCTCTCTCTCCCCTTCTTCACCCCTCTGTCCCGGCGTCTCTTCGTCGCATCCCGGCGTCCTCTCCCCCTGTCGCGTGTCCCGCAGCTCTCGCGCCCCTCACGCATGGCCTCGAAGCTGAAACTCTCGCGCGTGAAAACGTGGAGTGCGCTCTCCGCGTCCTTGTCCTGCAGCGCGCGTGCGTCGTGCTCGTGTCCTCGAGCCCTGACGATTGGCGTGATGGTGTAGCGCGCGTGGTCCACAGCGAAGAAGCCCTCGAGCCCCCCGCCGCAGAGGTTGAAGACGGCCAGGGACTCCGCGTTGGAGTCCACCGTCCCACGGTACGCGCACTCCCGTTGCAGAGGAGCGTCCCCCATCAGAGAAAGCACAGACTGAGGGCCGAAGTGATGCGAGAGCACCGACTCGTCCCGCTCCATGTCCAGCTGGAAGCGGCTCCCGTCCAGGTACAGTAGGTAGCCCACCTTCCCTCCCCCGTGGTAAATCCGGTCAATGGTCCGCACCACCCCGTCGGTCCTCCGGGCAGGTGTGAGGAGAGACCCGTTCGCAGGTGGAAGATAGAAACCCTGGAAAGTAGAGAGACCCGCTCCTAGCTCCAACTCCACGACGCACAGCAACAGTAGCCGAAAGCAGAGCATGCCCTCGGCCAGAGCACCAAGGATCCGCACCATTGTTCATTCCAACCCGAAACACATCTATGTATCCACTAACAACAGCCCGGACCGTCCGAAGAGACAACTTTGAGTATTTGTTCCTCCACAAAAAAACGCATCCTCACGGTGTCCAAATCCCCAAGTGAAAACACTCACAGTAGTAACCGAGGCGAGCAAACAAAACCATTGAGGAACAAAAAAACAAACAACGAAAGAGAGCAGCAGAGAGGAACTGTATGCAGGCTGCAGCGCACTGAGCTGAACTTGGAGAACAAAACACAAAGTTTGCTCTTAATAGGACCCGGAGAGAAAAGTCCTGCCCCCTTTGCGCTCAATCACCCCTCCTCCACCCCCCTCTTCTCTCTCCCTCCCTCGCTCCCTCTCTTCCTCAAATCAAGTCAAGTGCTGGAGGAGAGAGACCTGAACAATGCTGTCACTGGAGTGTTTCCCATTGCCTTAGCACAGGAAACAGGGAGACTATTAAGACTCAGCATGTCCATCAAAATCCTCATGAATCATCTCAAGAGGCGGTGAAACAGATTGTATTCAGCAAAAAATAAAATAAAATGCAACATTCCCAAATAGCCCCATGATGGTACAAAACCATTTATCCCAACCATTAAACACCAGCCTGTTATTTTTACACTTTTACCACTTTGACTTCTTTAATAATTGAAGTCCAAGGGGAGTTGACTGGGTGGTTTTCGAGGCGTAATAATTCATGGTTGTTCCCGAATAAGAGTACTAGGAGTTCAACGTCCCTCTATAGGACATTTAATGGCATGCTGCACTTAGGTATAACACAGAAAAAGTGTGTTTGTGCTTGTACGTGTTGATTTGTTGTGTGTTTAGGTAATTGGTGCCAATGGGATGTCATGCTCAAAAACAAACACACTCTCCGCCAACTACAGAGCTTTTCTTAAACGCCTTCAAAGCTCCAAGACACTGCTCATTTGCTGAGTCACCCAACAGCTATTACCTCCGCACGCCACAGAGGGGGGGGGTTTCAGTGTGTGTGCATGCCAGGAGGGCCCGGGGAGGCCTCTGGTTGTGGATACACATGACACGAGCCCATGTCGGATCTCCCAAAGCATTGTGGGTAGCAAAGGCTCGGTGGATGCAGCCAGGGGAGTGGGTGTGAAAATGACGCGTGGGCAAGCGGCACAAGCGTCAGGAAAAGCGGGACATGTTGTGCTGCCATGGTAAGTCCCTCTGACATCACAACGTGGTACGATCCAACCGAATCAAAACAAAAACAAGGAAGGTGGGGGTGCGATTGGATGTTAGGGGGCGATGAAAATCTCTGCTACGGCCCTGCAGCTCAGTATTGAACACCCTGATGCAGTATCGAGCGTCCAAATTGACTGTTATGCAACGCACCTCCCACCCCCCACAACCCGTCTCTGTTTCTCTCTGTCCTCACATCTCGCCTCCCCTTCTCTTCTCTTCCCCCCCTGCTGCTTCTCCTTTACACCAAACTGTCAAGTGTATTACCTGCAGTAAAAAGACGCCTATAAATACGGAGCAGTGTGTGAGAGAGGATGTTTGATCAGGACAGAGGGATGTGAGGACGGGTAGTTTATCCCGAAAAAATGTACACATAAAACACACTGCAGCTGCAAAACAGTGGCACTGATCCTGAGCAGAAATTAGGCAACTTTCCACAGCATCTTTCACTAACACTACACACACACACACGCTTTGGCTCATAATGTCCTCCGCTCCCTCCCTCTTCCTCTCTCCTCTTTTGAATCTGACACTCTCAGCCCATTGGATCTTTTTTAATCCCTGTCATCTGAAAGCGAGATGTATGCCAAAGCAACCATATGGACATAAACCGCCCCCCCCACACGCACGCACACAATCACACAGTAACCCGGATCACACGTGCAAAGCAGGCTGCATTGACCAAAACAAGTTGTGTGTGTGAACCCGCGTGACGAGCCACGTGTGTGTGTGTGGGATCCGCCCCCTTCCTACGGTGGCTGGCAGGGGAGGGAATCCAATATGGTTAATTGACAGGCCGAGGCCTTACATAACTGCGTGCTTCTATTAAGTGTGTGTGTGTGTGTGTGTGATGCAGCCTCTACACACACTCCTCTCTTGCTCCATCCCTTCACCAGTAATTCCCATCAGGAGGAGAACGCTCCAGATGAACGGAGCGGCAATCACAGCGCTTGTTCTGGTGATGGTTGAATGGCTGATGAAGTGTGTGTGTGTGTTCTCTCCCTTTTCCCCTTCATCTCACCAGGTGTGTTCCTAGCATCTGTTATCATGACGCAGAGGGAAAAAGCAACATCTCCCAGGTGACAGCTAGCCTCCACTACAGGTATACACACACCTGCACACACACTTTTGTACACAAGAAATAAACAGTCAACACCAACGCTTGTATCCACAATATATATATATGTTCATTACAAAAAGACAATAATTGTACACATACAAAAGAAAGTAAAATAAAAGGCACATGTATACACCTGTAAACAGAGAATTCTAACTAGTCTTTGAAAAGAAAACAGATGAAATAAGTCTCAGAGGTGGAAAGGCAGTGCAAAGGTAAAAAAAAGAAAAGAAATGTCACTTAGCCTTCTGGATTTAGATTTGAAACAAGTTTTCTAAGTGAATAGTACATTCAGCTCTAAACAGTAAGGTGAAAGTCTAGTTAATGATGTATGAAAGGTAATGCAATTATTATTTTACGCAATGTCTATTCCTGCGATTTGATAACACAACTCTACAAAACAGACTTGATTTTTCAACATTCACATAATGCATTTTCTTCTAAAAAAAACATACCTACTCTGCATAGCGCTAATTTCTTCATGTCCTCTACAGGGCAGCTATTTAAAAATAAGTGCGATATGTTTGGGCTTAGAATTAAAAATGTAAAACAGATTGGTTTGTCTACACATCAGCAGCAATATTTCAATATTGTGTAAATAAATGCAGATTTTGTCACATGATTGCATGTTGATAAATAGTAAATAGTTTTTTGGTACAGTGCAGAGATATTGTAATAATGCCTTTTATTCAGCAGTAACTGCAATTTAGACTTGCGCATTTGAGACAGCCGTTAACAAAACAAAACAAAAGTTAAAACAACTCTACCTTAAGAATAAAGATAATATGAAAAGGTTACTGCACATTTCAATCATTTTGTCAACAAGTTGATTCATGGCAGTTGTATCTGGGTGTAAGGCATGTTATGAACCATTTAAACTAGGAAATGGCGAACAATGATCCGGACAAATCACTGTGTGAATGCCTGACTCATAGAGCCATCGTAGGTGAGCAGTACCCGAGCAGAACAACACATGTTAAGCATGCAGTGATCTCTCATAGAGAGTAAAGTGGGAGGCCAACTCACTCAGAAATGCCAGCAGGAATAGAGAACATGAATCAGCCTCCTGGGCCTCGGATGGGAGCAGTGATTAAATGGTTTACGAGTGATTCAAAAGAAGAGCTCGAGATTGTAAGCAGATAAGGTTGAGGAGTGTTGTGTTTTATGATTTTGGTTGCTGGTTTCAAGGTGCTAAGGGTAAAGCAAGCTGAGTGCATTCAGGTGGCGTTTGCATAGTTTGCATTAAAGGGGCCCTTTTATGATTATTCTCAGGTTCATATCAGTATGTAGTGTCTCTCCTGTGACATGTCTTCATGCTTTAATGTTCAAAAAGCTCTTTATTTTCCTCATACTGCCTGTGCTGCAGCACCTCTTTTCACCCTCTGTCTGAAACCAGAGCCCAGTTTGCTCTGATTGGTTAGCTGTCCAGCTCTGTTGTGATTGGTCAACCGCTTAGCGATGTCCCACCCCTTAGCTTATTACGTACAATGTGTTGGACCGCTAGCCAATAGAAGTGTGAGTGTTACATAGTGATGTTACTATGTTCAGGAAGTAAACAAAGGAGTCCAATGGAGAGTTTAAGGCAGGGACCATTGGGATTTTAGCCTTTGCAGACAAACCTATAGAACACACTACAGGAAAGGGGAACCCCCTTTAAAGGGCCTCTTTAAGTGTGATGTTCCACTTCAGCACGATGGTAAATATGCAAAAACATTCAGATTTGTGTGGTAAACAGGTTCAACTGTAAAATGTTCAAACTTGAAGAATTTTTTTGACAGGCCTCTGTGGTCAGCTTAAACTTATTTAGTGTAGAAATGGGAAGCCAGCCCCTAATTAGCACCCAGAAGCGATACCCTCCAACCTCAACCCTTCTCCTTCGCCACACCTGATTGGCTGACCAGCATCCAATGTAAGTCCGGCATTTTTTTGTTCAGGTCAAACGATCATGGAGAAGGTCTGTGATGGGCTCCTTCTCGCTCAGAGGCAGGGCCGGGATGTAGGGGGGCCCAGAGGGGGAGTAGTGGAGGGCCAGGGAGGAGATTTCAACCGGGCTGCACAGACGATGGAAGCGCTGGGGGGGGCGAGGCCAAAAAGTCACAGTTAGTTGATTAAAGAAATGAATTACAAGTTGATATACTAGTTTTTACTTGGGTTAGGGTTTGAGGGGGAGATATGGTAGTACATGAATAAAAGGGAGGGGTTTACCTGTGACAGGGTTCCAGGGGTGATGGCCAGGGCGTAGATGGCCCAGATGGGGAGCAGGGAGACGGAGGAGAGCGTGAGGAGCCAGCCCAGCGCTGTGGCCCAGGCCGGAGCCACCAGACCCCTCCCCAGGTTTAATGGAGACCAGCTGACCAGGGAGAACACAAAGGTGGCCTGGGGGCATAAAGAAGGAGTCGTTAGTCTTTGCATCAGTACAAAATGTGTTTGAATATACACTACACCCTATAAAGCGGGAGGGGGTCACTCACAGAGCACACGGCCGGGGTCAGGTACTTCCAGCACAGCTTGAAGACGGGCAGGGGGCTGTAGCCGGTCATGTCCCTGATGTTGGAACTGAAGCGATCGGCTCCTGTGGACGAAAAAAACGAACTTCCTTCACCACGAGAGCTTTGGTTTGAAATCATGGTCTGGATTACGACTGCTTTGTTGTTTTTGGTGGCAGTGCTTGGAATACTGTCTCCTGCCAATATCCACCACCGTCTGACTGAGTACAAGAAAATGGACTTGGCAAAGAAAACCTTACTTTGAAGTGACATTTCTTTGTTTCTATGAAGCAGCAGTTGTAGTAGTAGTAGTAGTAGTAGTAGTAGTAGTAGTAGTAGTAGTAGTGGTAGTAGTACTACAATGACAGTAGGGAAGTGAAAAGGAAATGTAACTTCCAATCCAGTAGAAAAAGGATTATAAAAGTAGGTGTCCCGTTCTAAAACAAACAAACCTGTTGAGAGAGCATCATAAGAATTTTTCAAAACTAATCAAAAATCCCAGTGATAAAGGTGGTGGGGGGTGGAGGTGAACTCTCCTCCTGTAACGCTGCTCTCCTCCACTGTGCTGCTCCACTCTCCTCCTGCTGCTCCATAAAAACAGGCTTCCTTGGTATTCATATTTCTCACACACACACACACACACACACACACACACACACACACACACACACACACACACACACACACACACACACACACACACACACACACACACACACACACACACACACACACACACACACACACACACACACACACACACACACACACACACACACACACACACACACACACACACACACACACACACACACACACACACAGCTAATTTGTTATCACCTGCGCTGGCACTGCTCACACCTTCTCTGGGTCTTAATTCCTGCTCCGTTAATCATCTCTCAACATTCTTATTACGTTGTCCTGATACATGGCGCATTCCTCTCATCTCACTCTTAAACAAACAATGTTTCTTTTTTTGTGTAAATGCTGTAGAGCCCCAGGTCTGGCTGGGATAGGGGCTCCCTGGGGCCGCCGGCCTGAGACTGAGAGGCGACGGGGCCCGGGGGCTGATTTAGGGCCTGGAGGAGACAGACAGGGGCCTGGCGAGGAGCCAGTCTCCTTACAACAGTGGGTAGCAGTAGCCATGTTAATATACTGTCTACTGACTGCAACAGGAATGCATGAGGAGGGGAGGAAGTGGAGTGTGTGCGTTAATCAGATTTTAGGAACTGCTTTCATTAATTCTTGGCACTATTCTGTCTTTATGTATTTTCTGTGTGTAGAACAGCCCTCAACCTAAGATTTATTCTGCCTTTTGTTGTCTAATAAGCTCCGGTGTTTAGGAATTTCATTAAATGTAGGCATTAAATGGTCAGGAAGGATGTTTTATACATGAAAATGTGCTTAAGTAGAGAGTAAAAATGTGTGTAAAAAAAGAAGACATCAGAGAACATTTGAGGCTATACAGGAGGAGACACTATTCAAATGAAAGGGGACTATATGAGAATAAAGAAGGACAATTAAAGGTGAGAATAAAAGGAGACGATTAGCAAGGAGAAAAGGTAACGAAGGTGGTAAGGAGGGGAGGGGAGATGAGGTCTGTACCGTAGACCCAGCCGATGGCGAGCGACTGGACGATGGAGAGCAGCAGCAGGCTGGTTCCACTGCAGGAGTAATGGTCGTAGATCTGGAACACATACAGACCCCCCTGGACACAGACATGCACACACAAGAGAGAGGACATTACATTATTCAAATCACTTTATGTAGCTCCCGCCACGTTTGTGTCAGGTCTTCTGGTTTAGCACTAGCAGTGTTGAAGCGCCCTAGAGCAAGCAAACATAAGGGGTAAAGGTAAGAGATGTGACTTACGGGCGTGACCATGACCAGGCCGAGCAGGAAGCAGATGATGCAGATGAAGAGCAGCAGCAGCTCTCTGCGGTGACCCCGTCGGATCAGATTAGGGTACAGGTCTGTCACCGACGTCATCAGGGCCTCCAGACTCACAAACTGGGGGACAGAGGGGAGACAGGGGTACTGCATGTAGTGAACAATTGTGAAAATGGTTTCAGTAAAAAACGTGTATCTTAAGCCAAAAGCCCGTCTTGCAGAAGTAACACACTCCAATTTGTTAATGAAGACACACAACACACATATTAAGTTACTAAGGAAATGGCTCCTGCACTTTACATACTACATCACGTGATTCATCAGTGTGTGTGTGTGTGTGTGTACCTGTGTGTCCAGCCCCAGCATGATGATCATGAGGAAGAAGCACACGGCCCACAGTTGGGGTACAGGCATCATGGCAACTGCTCTCGGGTAGGCAATGAAGGCAAGGCCAGGCCCTGAGAGGACGAAAAAATGTACACATTTAATATATGATATTTAAACAGAATCTTCCTTCTGCTGTTTCCACCCCGGCCTCACTTCACCTGACTGGGCCACAGAGGCTATGTCCACCCCCTGCTCTTCAGCCATGAAGCCCAGCACGGAGAAGATGGCGAAACCTGCCAGGAAACTGGTGATGCTGTTCAGGAGGCACAGGAGGAAAGAGTCCCTGGAGGGCAACAGGAACAAAAAAACGCAATTATTTAAGCGTCATAGGAAGACGCAACTTGAGGAAGTACACGTTGAAAAGGGTCTGTAACAGAATCCACTTGGTTTTTGGTCATGTATAGTGGCGCTGTCGAGTGGTACAGTAAATCCAAGGGTTTAGTGCTTGGCTCTTTCTGTGTGTGTGTGTGTGTGTGTGTGTGTGTGTGTGTGTGTCAGTCTACAGAGTGTGGGAAACATGGCAGCGAGGTCTTTTCTTTAAGGTGTGGCTGTATCAGTGTGTTTTCTCTCTCCATTCCAGCCATTCCTCCTGGAAGCCGTCTGACGGGAGCTTACATCTTACATTTCAGTGTGTGTGTGTGTGTGTGTGTGACAAAAGGGTCTCACTTATAGCAGTCGTTGTTGTATTTGTTGTAACTGCCGAGGGCCGTGAGACTCCCCAAACAGATTCCGTATGAGAAAAATACCTGGGTACCTGCATCCATCCATACCTAGAGAAAGAGAAGAAACATGCATTAACACTGAGGTGAAATGAAAGCCAGAAAAAATGAATCAAACCCCCAAAGCCCTGCACTCTGTCCAGTAGAGAAGAGTATTAGGGCCTGGCAAAGTTTATAATAACTGTACAGTATGTGTGTGTGTGTGTACCTGTGGGTCTGCCAGGCGGGTGATGTTGGGTTTGAGGTAGTAGATGATGCCCTGCGTGGCTCCGGGCAGCGTGGCCCCGCGAATCAGCAGCACAACCAGCATGGCGTACGGGAAGGTGGCTGTCAGGTACACCACCTGCAATACACACAGGGGGAGAGGAAGTGGTGAGGAGGACGGCACGGAGACGGAAGAAAACAGCAGGGACGATTCTGGTGAGGTCCTCTAACTCAGGGGTTCCCAACCTTTATTGTGCCAAGGACCGGTAGATACATTAAAAAAAAATCGCGGACCGGTTGTCAATTTTAACTGATTTGAATATTTACTCACCACCAGCAGGTAGCAACAGAGGCTAATTGTATGTAACAGCCTGAACAAATACTAGAACAATATGCATCCAAAACATATTAACAAAGTTTAAAAAAGAACCGGTGTTGTTTTTTGTTTTTCGGAAAACCAAAAAACCGACTTTATTCAGTTTTTAAACCAAAACGGGAAAACAGATAAATCAACGTTTTGGTTTTGTTTGTATGATTTACGGATAATCCAGTGAATGCTGGAAAAACGAGGAGAAGGCGCATTATGAAGGAGGGGGGTGTGTGTGTGTGTATGTGTATGTGTGTGTGTGTGTGTGTGTGTGTGTGTGTGTGTGTGTGTGTGTGTGTGTGTGTGTGTGTGTGTGTGTGTGTGTGTGTGTGTGTGTGTGTGTCACTGGCATTTGTTTTCAGAAGATATTATGATAGTGTCGTTCGTTCCGGTGCACTCCCGACAGCATTTAGCACTACATCGAGATTAAGATTAAACTAATTTATTTTGGGAACAGCCGCATATATGCCGGTGTCGGACAGACACAAACACACCGAACAGAGCTGAGCTGAGCTGAGCAGAGCACATACACACACATCATGCGCCTTGGTGACTGACTGGACATCTCCTTCATAAAACTAATAAAAGGGGGAGTAATCGGGCAGTTCGATGTGTGTAGATGTGTGTGTGGTTAACACGTAGCAGCCTGCAGTCACTCTTAAGCTGTTCTGATTAAGTTAAACACAGCGAAGGCGGTGCGTAAAAAGGCACAGCTCTTTACCGAGTATACGTCCCGCTGCCTCCTGATGCTGCAGCCATCTCATGAAGTGAAGGAGGGTTTCCTTCTATAAAACAGCTGCGGGCAGCAGATACCGTGGGAGTCCCGGACATTAATTCATAGATCAAGGCAGACTGGTTTACTCTCCTGTTTTGCCAATCCGGTGCTTAAACAAATAGCTCTATACCCCTGGCCGACATGTCCTTAAAATGAAGTCCGAGTTTGAAATATATCTCAAATAATGTATGCACCACCATTTCCCCACATAAACATAACAGTCTGCAATCAAACGGTTGTCTCTTGTGCGCTCCTCTTCCTACTTGGCGCACCGGTAACATGCTCGTGCGCACAAGAGGCTGAGACCTTAGGCTGAGCCGCCGAATCCCTCGGAACATCATAAAAGCCATTTTCAACGGTTTTCTGGTGAAAGATTAACTAGCTACTGGATGAAATAATATGACTGGTGGCATAGGTGCGAAAATTAAACACTTTTTGAAAAAAATATTATGATAAAATATTTTTATATATTTATAATTCTGCAAATATTACGATAAACTCACAGCTATTTCGCCGGGGTTGGGAACCCCTGCTCTAACAGAGCAGAGAAATACTGAAGGAGGGAACCCAGGAAAGATGGAGTCTTAAAACCTGTTGACGGATGGTGGCAGTGACAAGAGGATCTATACTGCTGCAGTGGGCTGTCCCTTTTGAAAGAACACTACAGGAAAGGGCATAATACGGCCCCTTTAAAAAAAGACGATATGTGGACGAGGGCCCTCACCTTGCCTCCACTCAGTCACACAGCTCTGATGAAAAGCCCTTGTGTTAAACTCCTGAGAGGCTACCAGTTCCAGGGACACCGCTGTTTTTATTACCTTGTACTCTCTGCACTCAGAGGAGACAGGGAAATAAAAAGAAGATTCATGTACAGCCGTCTGGATTGTGTTAATGGAGACAATCTTTCTCTGTTTAGGGTATAAAGATTATTTTACACCGTCTCTCCGTTGCATTATGCTTGGCAGGCTGCAGCTTAAATCAGGAAAAAAAATGTTTGCAATTAAAAGCAGAATTCTCAGAAAGGAAATGTTTAATCTCCATGGACTTTTATAAAAAGATAATTACATGTTCAGAAAGTGTTAAGTCACAGGAGTGGAGTAGGAGTTTTAACGCACATTTGGGTTTCCGGGTGATGAGGTCAGTGTGTTTTCCGCTCACCTTTCCCGTAGACTTGACTCCCTTCCACACACAGAAGTAACACACCAGCCAGACGATGGCGAGACACAGAGCGAGCTTCCAGTTGATTGGACCCAGCTCGTCTAAACTGTTGGAGAGACGGAGTACTTCTCGCCTACAACACAAGCAAACACACACACACTATCAATGCATGATCAATTGCACTAAAAAGAAGTGAGAAACCGAGCTACACTCACTCCCAGAACTCCATGACGGAAGAGGTGGCGTTCTCTGGCAGGCTGCTCTCAATGGTTGTCTGGTTGTGGCGTTCAAACACCACACACGCCTCTGCAGGGGAACACACAGCAGCTTGTACACAGCGGACTCAAAATGACACACATTTTTTTTAATTTGCTGTCTTTACTGACCTGTGTTCCACGTGTTGTTGCAGTGCGACCAGGGCAGCTCCGCCTGGAAGCTGTAGGAGAGGTAGAAGAGGGCCCAGGCCAGGATGACGATGTAGTAAACACAGCCATGCAGGATCATCACCTGGCTGGCATAGCCCAGACCTGCAGAGACACCATCATTCATTCACTGTGTTATGAGTTTTCAGCTGAGATGCAATATTACATTTGTACTGTACTATATTTTAAAGATCTGTACTTTGATATGTTTTATAAATGTTCGTGTGATATATTATATGCAATTGTTATGTGTGCCTGCCCTTGGGACTGCAGAGAGAAATCAAGTACTTTGTGGATACTCCTTTTACAGAAACTCATGTGTTTATGATTCGTCATTCTGAGTAATTAATCATGAATACATAGTTGGTATATTCAATCTGCAAGCAATTCATGCGACAGCGCAGACATACAGATACAGGGTGAGATGATTTACACAGGCAGATCGTATCGTCAGCTGATGCGCGGCGCACTTACACAAATAAACAAGCTTCAAAGCATTTTCTATTATCAGTTCCAAGAGCTTCACATGAAAGCATCCATTCATTGAGACACTCAACTTGCAGCCCACATCTAGTATATCTTCAGTACGGAAGAATGACGAGTCTTGTGAGGCTTTTAGTGGGTTAGAGCGTGTGGGCTGTTTGCCGAGACAAATGGCTGGCTGTGGTTTGCTCTAATGAAATGCAGGCTTCGATCTGATGATTCCATATTCAATGTGAGGGGTTCTTACAGAAGCAGCTCTTTGTCTGAGTGTATACAAACACATTGCTCAAGGACGTGCCGCATATTCTTAGCATAGCTCATCCCAGCGCTAAAACACATGGTCTTTCTACAATAATTTGTCACAAAATACTGGTAACCTGTGTTTGAGCATCTGCGTGCCATATGAGCAGCACATATTTGTCACTAAACAAGGCAAATAAAGGCAACATATTCTGTTTACAATGTGTTTCCCAGGTGGTCAAAGTGGCTACTGCTGCACCTGCACACCAACTCAACATTGTGGTGTTTTCTGGACTTCATTATTTGAATGATGTGTTAAAAAGTTGAATATTTCTTAATTACAGCAAAAATAATTCAGTGCATCAGGGATATTGACGGATGTTGTATGTATTCATATAATTTAACCCCCAATTTGTCATTCTGCTGCACCTATAAATAAACACAGCTGGGGATAATGACTGATCAAAGTCCTCAGTGGTTCCTGTATGAGCTGAGTGATCACTGTGTGTGATCACTGTTTTAATTCTCCAATAAAGCATTGATCACAGCCGGTACTGCTTCCCTGGTTTGATGGTGTGTAAAGTTCATCTGTGATGCATTGTTTGGATAGCATGAAACCAAATTATGCAACTTCAAAGTGTGTGTTTTTATTGGCAGGCAGGGAGCGTGTTGCCTTCTGCACACTTGAGTTGTTTTGATAAACTAGTTGAGATTGAATATGTGCTGCACACGCATGCAGCTGGCAGGGGATGCCAAGTATCCTGATTGGTGTCATATTGTAAATATGGGTTTTGTATTGATGTGGATTTAGGAATGCTTTGAGCGCTTGCATCAGTACGGAGGATAAATGGAGCAAAAAACAGGCAGATGTTGGCTTTTTCAATTTTCTTTATAACATACATTTGTTATTTTAACCTCAGAGAATATCTTATGTGGCAGCCATAAACGTAGCTAGGTGCATGTAACAAAATGCAAAGCAACAGCACACACTGCAGCCTTAAAACGTCTACAGATGACATAAGTAGATCAGCGTACCTCCAAATAAGGGGCAGATCTTCCTCCAGGCGCTGACCCCCCCCAGGCTGGTGAACTGTCCCAGTGAGGTTTCCAGGAGGAAGAGGGGGATCCCGCACAGCACCAGGAACAACATGTAGGGCACGAAGAACACACCTGGACACACACACACAAACAGAAGGTGCTGTCTTATGATTGCATTAAACACAATAACTACCACAGTTTGACAGACTAATACAAATGAGTGTTATGAACACATTTATGAGAATTTATATCATAGGTGTAAAAATACAATTATCCCCAGCTCTAAGAAAAACCTTGCACATTTTCATCCCAAGTCAACTAATCAATCAATATTTTTTTACATTTTTTGAACGGCCTATATCACAAATTACACCTTTGTCTCAGGGGGCTTTACAGCATACGACACACTCTGTCCTAAAACACTTGCAGTGACAAGAAAAAAAACACCCCCGGACCAAGACACCCCATAATAAATAGGAAAATATGGTCATCTTTCACTATTTTCTCCCTGCTCCCTGACACTTTACCTCCTCCGTTCTTGTAGCAGAGATAAGGGAACCTCCAGACGTTGCCCAGACCGATGATCTGCCCCGCCACGGCCAGGAGGAACTCCGCCTTGCTGGCCCACTGTCCCCTGGCATGGAGGCCGTCTTTGGAGGTTTTTATCCCGTTGGGGAGGCTCCCTTGGTGGAATGTATTCAGCAGCGGGTCTCTTTGCTGTGGAGGTAGCTGGTCGGCCATCACTGGTTGTGGCAGAGACACACACACACCCCTGAATAAAAGAAAAAACAATAGTATGCATAAGTTGTCAGATGAAGTTGTACAGAAAAGGAGCACAAAGCAAGTTTCACTCACATCTTTGCAGTCGGGTTGTTAAACAAGAATTTGGGTGTTTTTTCTGACAGTTGGTCTAGCTGCCTCACTTATCTGTCATGTGTGTCTCAAGGACGAACTTACATGGGTGTGTGTCCTTTATCTGCAGCCTGCAGAACTCTCAAGGACCAATTTTGATGATTTCCGCCTTAGGCTATATTTCTCACAACACTATTTCATCAAATACACACTGTTTTTAAAGACTTAAGATGTTTAATGCAGTCAGACAATAACAGGTGTAATTCAAGCTGCATTTCACAAATTGGAACTGAGCCATTATTGATGCTTTTTCTACTACTTTATTTCCTTAAATTACTTTATCTCATTGTATTTCTGCATGTAGAAATGTCATTATGTCCACCCTATCGCACTTTTGTTGTTGTTAGGGTCATTTCCTGGTATGTTTAGAACAAAAGCAGACATACCTTATGTGCTTTGTCTTTCATATGCTATGTTATTTCCATTGTTTCAATTCCATATGGAAGCAGGGGTTGCAGCAGGGGTTGCTGATGACGTTTTTTAGCAACTTTGTTCCTTTTTTTAAAATGGTTGTGAACGTTTATGGACCTCGTCTCAGTCACTCTCTCTCTTCCTCCTTCTCCCCCTTCGGTGCCATGTGATACAATGACCACGAGCCGGCTTTCATAAGCAGCCCTTAATTTTCATCGACAAATAATGAATGAGATGTATATTAAAATGACATGCCGTGATAACGACATGCTAGCAACACATGGGCTAATTTACAGGTCCTGTTATCCATACAGTTCGTCGTAGGTTACACATGTAACACTTTCTAACGGTTACGCTATCTCTGCGGAGGAGTGTTGAAATTATGATCGAAATAAATGAAAATATGAATTGAAAAACAGGTAACCTGTTATTAAATATTCGCTTGCTATGACGAAGGAAACGATACATCGCAGAGAATTCGACATTTCTTTGCCTACCTCAGTGTTCCCTGTAGTTCTCTGCACCGCAAACACCCCCCCTCACTATCGGTTAGATGGTTTAATCCTGACCAATCTGACGCGTGGATGCCATTGCCAATGCCAAACAGCCAAAACGTTATTCAACGATGACAATTCAGAGTTACAAAACAAGATTATTATTTGTTTTACATAAGAACTCATATTTACGCAATTGTAATGAACTTGTTATAAATTATAAATAATAAATAATAAAAATCCCAAAGTATTAACAAATATTTGCAGATTATAATGATCATAATAACCCCCTGGCAGCTGGTAAAGGTGGAGCTAATTTAATTGTATACACTGCAGGGTAGATTCATTTAAATCATGATGTATTTACATTTTGTGTGAATAATCCAAATCGGCAGTGTCACCAGTAACTAAAACGTGTAAATAAATGTCGAGGAACCACACAATTGCAATATTGGTAAAGTAGAAGTATAAAGTATAAAAATAGAAATAAAGTAAATGGTTCAGCCTGGCACGTAAATGCATACCAGCATAAAAAGGCTACTCAATGAAGTGAAGTGAGTTTTACACAACCACACAATTTTTTTGCTAATGCTAATCTATGCTTAACTTGCTTTATATTACAACTAATAACAATACAAAAGTATTAAAATAAAAAACTACTTCAAGTACTAAAAGTATATAATTATTATTATGATAATAATAATACCCTATTAAGGTGGAGCTGATTTAATTTTTGAATAAATGTACTTTACTTGCCACCATCATCTTAATATAGATATAATAATAATTATAATCAAATAACAATAATAATAATACATTATTTCTCAATAATGTGCGTGAATTTATTTTAAATATTTTGTTTTGAATCTTTGCATTTATAGTACTTATGAATTGAAATTCTGTTCTGTTATTTGGGTGTGTTTATGTTTATGTATGCTAATCTTTTCCAAGATTAGCACATGATGCGTTATATATTTAAGCTGCTTTTAAAATCACCAGATTAGTTTATCTTATGCATAACGGCCATTGCTGAGACTTTAGGTCCCTATTGTGGACTCTGTCCTGTAAATGTTCTCGGCGTCTGAACCATTTAGACCAACTCGAGCTGCTTTTAGCACATTTTATGGGCTGTGTCATTGCCTGTGCTCATTCAGCTGAGCATTTATAGCCACAGTAAAAAAAAAAGAGTCCAGGCTCCAGCTAGTACTCTGCTCCATTCAGAAAATTACATTCCACTACATGGACATATTAGGTTATATTAGTAGGTGTTTAAATCACATGCAAAAGTAATCATTGTCCTCAGGGTTCGAGTTATGTGGGAGCCAATGGGAGCTGAGCATTATTGCGCAATCTATGCCTGTGAGCGTGCTGCGCGAGCCGAGATGATGTGTGTGTGCGTAGCTGAACCTTTTCATATTTAAGTTTGTAGCAAGTAGAGGGCTGCTGCTGTGTGTGTGTGTGTTTGAGTGTGTGCGTGCGTTAGTTTTAAAGACCCCCATAGAGCTCAGTTTATAACTCGCACCCTGATTGTCCTCTTGACTTGTAGATATATGCACACATGCATACATGTGTTTGGACTTGGACAATCACCATTATTGTGTTGTTCTTCTCAAACCTTTTAAAAGACAGAATGTTATTACAACAATAGCGAGAATGGGACATCTTGTCCTTTTAATTAGGTAATAAAGTTATAATACCCACCAATAAAAACCGTCAACAAGCAGAGCACACAAAGCACCAGCGCTAAAAAAATAATATCATGATAGAAGAAGCACATTTTCCATTTCCCTTTGTGTAATGGAAATTACATCCATCAAGCTTAAGAACAGATTGACTAAGTTGTTTAAGTTACCCATTTCTATGTACAGCTTACAATCCCTCTATGAATGCATGTCAGAAATGACTTCTGTCCCCTTCATTAGTAGAAGAAATCCCCCTCCAAAAAAACCTAAAAGTCAAGGGCCAAGAGTCAGGAAGTGGTAAAAAGTCTTGCAATCATATACAATGCACAAATTCCTAAACGTGTGCACTCCACTTACACGACTGCTCTCCAAACGCAGAGTCTGCTTTGCCTCCCAGGGGCCAAATAAAAATCCAGCGCTAAGGACCCTTCAATACAGTCGCTATTGTTCCGTCCTGACGAACGTGCAGCGCCTGTAAACGTGTTGCCATGGCATGTAACTCAGACCAGGCATAGCCGTACAACATTTCTGCGTGCTTTACGGCCGCTTTTATTTGTGTCTGGCATCCAGGGCAAGGGCAGTGGGTCACTGATATACAATGGTATGCATTGTGAAAGTCGTCACATGCGTCTCTCCTGTGGTATAACCGCAAGTTCTTATAGGAAGCAACATGTTAAAGAATAGCGCAATCTCTATATACAAAACACTACAAGAAGATGTAGTTGAATGGCATCATAAAGAGTGGTATTATTGTATGATGTAGATGAAGTTTGATAGCTTAAAAAAGGGGCTTAAATTGAGTGCAATAACGACCATGTGTAACACCTCAACAGAGCGAATGTTTGACAACACAACGCCATTTATCTGATTACAGTCCGCCAACTATCAGACCAGAAAGGGGAAGGTAATCTAATATCGGCAGGATAATTCTGTTTTCTTGCACTCAGAAGTTAATCTGCTGCCTTCAGGTCAGACAAACTGTTAAAAGTTTAAGTGGTCTTCTTGCCTCGTTTGAACCCCTTTTAAAAGAGCACGTCCACTTCAGACCTTCCCATACTCTACTTCCCATGTCCTAAATAGGTAAACATTCCTGCGGCTTAACCCCCTTTCCTCTTCAACCTATGTGAAAAACATACCTTGTAAAAGAAGAGTCTTTTAAATGTAACCTCTGGCCTTATGTCCACACTGTACAAGACTCCCGCGAGGCTTGTGGTAGGCAAGATATTTGCTGCTGATAATCTTCCCTGGAGATTTTATGGGAATGTTTTTAAGGGCCAATTCCCTACGTGAGTCTTTTAACCACAGTGGGCAGACCTGTGAGATGTGTGTGGCTCCACTGGAAACGTAGGTCTTAATATGATTCGATTCGTTATATTTCATTTGACAAATAAAGTTTCCATGAAAATGTCTTCCGTATGTTTGAATGCAAAGTGTAAGCTAAGCCGTCTTTACCCTGCTTACGCCTGTCAACAATACCAGCTGTGAGGAACGGCCATTTTCATTCTCGCACGTATTTTCAAAGGAATTTGTTCTACTTTTTAATAAGAATGACTAATAAGTAATTGATTTCACTTACAAACCGGAGCTAAACACACATGACAGAAAATCCTATCATGCTTGAGCCAAAACTAAAACAAACAAAATGCATGAAGGATGTTATTTATAAAAACAGAATGACAATAAACCTATATATGATCTTTTCTCTGTATCGAAAATTAAGTTCATTTAGCTGTTTAGGATAACTACAAATAGAGGCTTGTATTCACTGCATTTACCCAAAGAAGTTTAAATTCTTGGGAAGTAAGTTTTTTCTGGAAATAACACTTGCATTTTGTGATATAAAAAGGTTAATCTGGGCAACAGATGCCTGAATTTATACTACTTAGATTTGAAAATGTTGCTTCCTGGGATGGTCAAATAAGTAATTTAGTTTGAAACGAGCCTCAACATTTTTCTAGGTTACATTGCACAACATTTTTATACGCCCACATTACAGTTGCACAAATTAATATAAGATCAAATCACGCAAAATGGAGGATAAAACGAGAATCTGTGACTCACTACGATGCCTGTCCTTATGCTGAACTTACCTGTTGACGTGGATTCCCTCTAAGCCTCAATGTAGCGCCTTAATGAGATGGATTAATTATGACCCTGTTCGTTCGCATCATTTTACAGGAAAGCGAGTACACTCTTGCTCTCCCTTAGCCCAACCAGTTTTCCTCTGTGATGAAACAGGCTCTCAGAGAGAAAACAGGATTCCTGAAGCTCACTGAGCCTGAAGATAGGGGCCAAACGATCATGGGAGTCATAGTCGTTGTCCAACATGGCGTTTCCACCCTTAAGCATCATAAACAATGGCCATTTTGTGTGAACAGAACATCTTGGTTTGCCCATGTGATATCTATATTTGACACAACTGTACATTATATTTAAAATATTGCACAATATGTATAGAGCACATTAGACAGAGGGGATCACAATATGCATATTACTATACGAAAATATGTCCTGTGTGGCGC